AAACCCACATCAGAGTCACAGATTACTTACATACAGATGCGAAAGAGCTGCGAATTCGTGGTTCAAGATTAATTTGATAGACATAGGTTGGCCGCACCAATTACACATCAATGTATTTTGAACATATTTATTATATAAATGCGGAAGCTCAATAATATAATATTATTTCTTTAAATCGTTCACAAACAGCAAAAAAATATTTTTTTCTACCCGCAAAAATATTTAAACACACAGGCTGGAACATGCTCACGCACTCGGCCACGTTAATTGTCCTGACGCGGGCAATCTTTATCTATGAGTCGGGGAGCTGGCGGCCCGGCTTCGTCACAGAATATCGTCGACGACAAGTATACGCACTTTCGCATCTGTATTAGGTGATCTGTGTCAGAGTGGCTCAAATTTGGTATAAACCTCGGCAGAATTCTTTGATCGATTATCTACTATAACCATACTTTGGCCAGGGAGGGCGCAGGTTATGAATTATGAAAAATAATTTTTTAAGCATTTATTTTTACTTTACTTATACGTTGTGAGAATGTACAGGGTGTTACAATTTGGATACTTTTGATAAGAAACGTAAATTTCTGAGCCCAGATACAAAAAAATGACCCACCCCCCCACTGAGGCTCAAATTTCATTATAGAGGATGTTTCTGGATTTTGAGCAATACTGTAAAACCTTCATCACTTTTGAAGTGAAAACTTCTTCAGAATCGTTGGGAGCAGGGTTGGAAAAAATCATGATTTTTTTGAAAAAATCAAAAAATCAGATTTTTTTGATTTAAATCAGATTTTTTTGATTTAAATCGGATTTTTTTAATTTTTAAGAATTAAACGGCTTTATTAATTTTTGATCAATTATTGGTAATTTAGTTTCAACAATGAATGATGCAGTAAATATAGTATACCTACTCCTAGACAAAATTATCGCACCACTGCACATTAAGCACCACAAAAGCAGTGGTACGATAATTTTGTCCATGAGTACATAATAAGAGTAGGTACTTATATAAAGTATAATAAAAATAAAAATTTATTAATGTTTATTAATAAATAAATAATTTCAACAAACAAAACAGTAGATAAACGGTAATTTCTGAAAACAAAAATAAAAAACATAAATAAAAATATTCGATAGGTAGAGGTGTACCTACCTATCTCCCTGCCCCTTAAACTTAGTAAAGAGAAAAAAAATATAAGTCAAAATAAAGTAAATAAGTCAAAATAAAGTAAATAATTCTTTTGTAAAAAATGAAAATAATACTACTTTTATAAAAAAAAATTATTCCGATTTTTTAATATACCAGCTTTGCGGCCTTTTAATTACCAAGTCGATTTCTCGAATCATTATGGCAGATTATAATACATATTATTTATGTTGAAAATATTCTCTCTACCCCAGCCGAGGATGGTATTGTAGTCAGAAATTTCTTAATAATTACTAAATCCTCTTTGGTTATCCCATTTATATAAGTATATGTGTCAAAATAAACGAATATATTTTCAATTTCTAAAGAAAGAATTTAAATCATTGATTTTTTTCAAAAAAATCACTTGATTTAAATCATGATTTAAATCGTGATTTAAATCATTTGATTTAAATCATGCCAACCCTGGTTGGGAGTGATTTGAGACTCGACTCGATGAAACGAAAAAGCGACACTGAAAAGAGGCAAACATATAGATCTATGGGATTAAGCCGGCTAGAGAATAAGATAGAATACTTTTGTACAGCGTTCCCTATTCTTCGTCTCCTCTTTGTGCGGTGCTTCGTAGCCTCCCCACTCTTGTCTACCAAGCGTTGTACCTAGTTTGTGTATCTCATTCTCTCTCAGCTTAGTTTTTTGGAGGTTTGACTTCTACCGGGTGTGAACTGCACAAATATATACAGGGTGTATATTTTAAGTGATACCACTATTGCTATATCCGAAACGGTAAGAACTACAAGGTGGGTTAAATTAGAAAAAAGTTGCCTTTTTTGATGCTCATTCAAGACTTGTTTTCAGTGTTGCCACATTCCTTTTAGCTTACGAAATATAGGGTGATTTCTAAAAAGCGCCTAAAATTATTTCATCAATTATTTCGAAAACTATTGATTTTCGAGACGCAATTCAAATTTGAAAGTTTTATAATTTTTTTCGCTCTACAGCATGGCATTTTCAAATTTCAAATCCGACGTTTCGTCATTGAACTACCATCATCAACTACATTTTTTTAAATACGGACCTGGATTTTTTATGTCAGTTTTAGAAGGGGAATAGAGGGCGCTTTCTAAAAATGACATAAAAAATCCAGGTCCGCATTTAAAAAAATGAAGTTGATGATGGTAGCTCAATCACGAAACTTCGGATTTAAAATTCGAAGATGTCATGTTGTAAAGCGAAAAAAATTATAACTTTCAAATTTAAATTGTGTCTCGAATATCAATGGTTTTCGAAATAATTGATGAAATAATTTTAGGCGCTTTTCAGAAATCACCCTGTATTTCGTAAAATAAAAAGAATGTGGCAACACTGAAAACAAGTCTTGAATGGGCATCAAAAAAGGCAACTTTTTTCTAATTTAACCGACCTTGTAGTTCTTACCGTTCCGGATATAGCAATAGTGGTATCACTTAAAATATACACCCTGTATATATTTTTTATTTATAAAAATAATTGATTTACATAGGTATAAAATGTCTATAGGTACTTTTTCAAGCAGAATCCAATGACGTACTTAAAAAAGCTATAAAGCTTTCACAGTTTTGCTCAAAGTCGAGAAACGCCCTCTAGTGACAAAACGGTTGGTGGTATATCAAATTGAACCACCCTGTACCCAGTAAGTACATAATATCAAAAAACGGAAAATAATAAAAATACCTATTCAAAATAAAAATATGCAATACAAATTTATCTGATAACAACAAAACGAAAAATTGAACAGTGTCAGCTTCGAAAATTTTTCTATAACATTCTTTTTAAAAAAAAATTCTATGAATTTTTTGGAAAATTCTTGGAAAATTTTTCTGAATAAGTATGTTTTTTTTTTCAAATGTTTTACTCAAAATTCTCTCGAGTAGATTTTCAGACTCTCAGGGAGGCGCGAGCCCCCTGCGCCCCCTTTCTGTATCCGCCCCTGAAAGTATGTTTATGTCCAATTTGAGGCAATTCTGATGTTTTTTTTTTTTTCTCTAATTTCCCAAAATATTTAGCAGTTAAATTAAAAAGTGTGTATTATTTTTTCTATCTATGAAAAAACTTCCATTATGTCCTTAAATTATAACGAGAGAAAAAACAACTTCAATTTCGCAAAAACATATGTTTAAATACACAATAGAGCGCCAACCGGCTGCCAACCCAGCGCAGAATGGACGAGGAAGTGGAAATGTATAATTTCCACTTTTTTTCGTCCTTCTGACTTGTGAGGTAGGAACTTCCCTTGGGAATCTCACTTAAAACGCGGTGGGCATGGTGAAGAGAGGGGGAAGTCCCGCCAACCGTTCCTGTTCAGGCCTCAGTAGGTCCATATTATTTATTCACAACAAAAAAAAAGCTTTTGACTCATAAGGTAGAAACCCTTATTTTGGAGTAGTCAAAATACATCTACCCCTCAGTTTCTGCACAGCGAAACCTGCCAACCATTACGTTTTTTAGTTAACCGAGGACTTGGCATACCGGGCCACCAAAAAACGGCCTTCTAACAGATGACTGAGGCTTTTGTGTCACGGGCTCTTAGACTATAGAGGGTTGAAGCTACGGGGATGGAAAAAACTGAAAAATAGTTCCCCTTAAAATCAAACATCGACGTGTACGAGCGTTTTCCCAGATTCTCATCCCAAATCCAATAAATCGGGGTGGACTGTTTTCCCTGGGACAACCTGTATGTATTTTTTCACAAAACCAAATTTTTACTTTCAAGGAATTTTATCACGGTCTGTGGAACTAAGGAGAATATTTTTCTAAGTGTATAATTTTTTAAATAAAATATATGCACATAATGATCAATTATTTTTATTTTTTTTAAACACATGTCGTAGTTCCATTACTTGACACTCTTGAAACCAATAGTTGACATGTTGCCTGTATCAGTAGAAACCTTGGTAGAAACATCAATAATGTAAGAATCAAACTTTTTATTAATAAAAAAAAACATTGGGAAACTTTTTGTTGGGAAAAAAATACAAATTTTAATTCCAAATTGGTAATAAAAGAAATGTCTCAGAAAACATTGGTACATTGTGTTTTTTTTTTGGTGATTTAGCTACAGTAAGCCCCCTATCGCAATTATCCAACGCAGCAATCATGTCTTCTGGTAGCTCTGGTGCATATTTCAGCAATTTCCATTTTTCATAAGCCATCTCCCGATTTAAACCTGGAAGGACCAATTGTTGACACTCTAAATCTCCAAACATTGACAGTGGTGACAGGGGTGTCATCTATTGGATCTACGACCGTCACATTCCCCAAACCCATATCTAGGTTTCTTTCTAATCCTGTGCAATAAAAAGAGGCAGACTACAATGTTAAAATATTTTCACCGCCAAAAATCCATAAGTTGACACTAGTGTCAACATTTAGATCACCCCCCCTTAAAAAGTTTATGCCTGTTATTTAAGAGATAAAACAATAATAAATATGTATTACAATGTATCTTATTATACAGTAAATATATATTATTCATAAATTATCAACCCTACCTTAGCTTTGAAAACTTTTGTTTTTATATCTTCTTAACTACTTTCACTAGAAATCTGGAAAAAAATTCAAACAATTGCACCTGTTTACTACTTCTTGCCACCATTTTGAAAAAACTTGTGATTTCAAATCCATACATCAGATATAGCATGCAAGATGGCTCCAACAATACTATAAGCTATTCCAGTTAGCTTATAACCTCTATAAATTCTTATTTTCTGGAATAATATGCTAATGTGTCAACTTTTGGGACCCTGTCAACAATTGGGTACTTTACCTTAGTTCTCATTCTCGGTATATATTGATTTTTTTACTGCCCTGCCAGGTATCAACAGAGGATTGGAACATACGATAAACAGCTATGGGAAACAAGAATAGAACAAAGAGAACACAGAACCTACGGACTGAACCATGTACAAATGCGCACTGCAAAACTCAACACCGATTTGATCGACTTAGATTTAGTTAGAGGTTTGTTTATTCATAAAGTAGATCATATACTAATTGCACAATAATAATTCAACTAATGAATGGCAATATCAATTATTTAATACATATATGATTATAATAAGGATATATAAAAATTAAAAGCAAATAACAAGGTAAATATTGTCTTTATCTCTTATCTCAATAAATAATTTTATGGAGGGACATCAAAAAATAAAAGAGGTCAAATAATGGCCGCCTCAATAAAGTTTATCTTGGATGTATCTTACTTGCTGCAAGTTTTTAAATAAAGTATAAGTATAAAAATAATTAGCAGTATGAGTATTATAGTGGTAGTGGTACCTGTAGATTAGTTTGGCAGAATAATGAGACAGGATTTATTTCCGAACAAAATATTTCAAATCCTATTTTTTACTATCCAAAATTCAAAAGGCAAATCTGAGCTATGAATGAATTTACATAAAAAATAAATATTTTTCTCTTTTCAGGATCATCCTTTACAAAGGCCAAGCCTCAGCATGGTTTTCTTAAAGTGGCAAAAATGGCCACACTCAGAACGTTATTCTTGCCCATCTATGCCAAGTGGTGGATTCACCAAACATCCGCTAGGTTTTTTATGTTTATTTTGTTCCTATACATAGTGCAAATGATTAATAATATAATTTTTTATTTATATTTATATAAATTTCCCGCTAGTAATTCTGAGGTAAGTACCTTATCATAAATCCCTTTTTTATTTATAAAATAAATTAGGTATTTGACATAAATTTACATTTTCTGATTAAAAAAGATCACAAAAATTATGTTTAAGGGTATTTCCTGCATGGAAGTTGTAGTTCCAATTTTTATGGCATGGCTGTTGAGCCTTATACATTCACAAATGGTCGCAACTATTCCTGATAAGCAAGACAATCATAGACGGAAAAGGAAAAAGTTACAGTTTGCTGATGAAATCGAGAGTGACGGCAAATGTAAAAGGTATGTGATGGTGTCAATCATAACAAAATAGATAAGTGGAATGTACGGAAGCGCTGGAGGATCAAGGTAATAATTTTTTTTCAAGTCGACCGGTCGACTTATTAAGTCAGCCGGTCGACTTATCAAGTCGACTTATTTATGTCGACTTATTTAAGTCGACTTATTTAAGTCGACTTATTTAAGTCGACTTATTTAAGTCGCCTTATTTATGTCGACTTATTTATGTCGACTTATTTATGTCGACTTATTTAAGTCGACTTAAATAAGTGACTATTTATGCGTGAAGTTACGAGAATTTTAGGAATTTGGAGGGATAGATCTATATTTATGAACTATCGATCAGGCCCTTCAACTGATGGGCAAACAGGGAAAATATCAGAGAGGGGAAAAACTTATGCGATATTTGACCTTTTTAGTCCCCTAGTGACTTTCCCAAAACTAACTTGACCAGAGAAAGTATTCTCGGATGTGATTAGGGGTCAATTCTTTCTCCTTGAAATAACAAAAAATCCCTACAGTGCATTATTAATTTTTCAAGAATGTTCAAACAAATTATCCACTTCTTCCCCCCGTAGTGACTCTCCCACACCTAACTTTATAGACTGTCAGCTAATGACAGATTTTGCTGCCCGATTTTCTCTCTCCGGGGATTCCAACCACTGAAAATTATGTCAGTGCTGAGCTGCAAAAATGAAAATTTAGCGACCGGACTTCTGCTAGGCATATGGAAAATTCACTTTTCTTTTGCAGCGGCCGGATAATATACCTTAACTGCAGACTGGCTTATGACTTAAATAAGTCGACATAAATAAGTCGACATAAATAAGTCGACATAAATAAGTCAACATAAATAAGTCGACTTAAATAAGTCGCCTTAAATAAGTCGACTTAAATAAGTCGACTTAAATAAGTCGACTTAAATAAGTCGACATAAATAAGTCGACTTAATAAGTCGACCGGTCGACTTGAAAAAAATTTATTACCTTGATCCTCCAGCGCTTCCGTAGGAATGGTATTAATGAAACTTATTTTATTTTCTATTTTTAAATTAAATGTTTTTCACCACTACTACTCCTTCAGTTGTTGAGGCTATTGTTGACCTAATGCTTAACCACTTCCTCTAATATTCAATAGCAATAGTTCTTTAGCAGTAACCAATACCCAAAGAAGTAGCAGTGCTAGAAAACGTCAAATTTGTAGAAAATAAAACTAAGCATGTGAAAGTAAGAAGATTTTTTTATTTATTTGAATCAAATCCATTTTTAAAATGTATGGGCGACTCATTTTAAACTCAATAATGAAAAACAAATCATTTTGAGGCATTTTGAAACAACTTATAATTTTAGGTTTTCACGAAAGAATAGTGGCCCATTTAATCTTCAATTTAATTCATATAACATAAGACGGAAATATAGGTGAGTATTGAAGGAAATTAAAACTTCAAAGTAATTAGGACTTTCACTGGTTTATCCTATTCGATTTCTTATGTGTGTATTTATTTTAGGTTGAATATAAGGCCTTGGTTCAAAAAACCAAACGTGGATGACGACGGATTTGAGAGTCTCGTCGGTAATGGATCTCGAACTAACTCGGTTCCTGATGGACCCTGTCAACCTATAGAAGGTATTATTATGACAATTGACTGTTGCTTATTCACCACAATACTCAACTGGTCTCCGAGGTAACTCTTGCTGCTGTGAATTAATCTGACCTTTAGTATAACCCCTTACATTGAAAATAAAAGTATCCTTTTCTGTCTGCCGTGTTTCTATCAGACACACCACAACAATGGGCTCCTCATGCAAAAAGGATTCCAATTCGCGTTTTTATTTTGCTTTGTATTGGTATTGCAATGCAGAACACTTTTTGTTGTCCTCGAGGGACCAATCCATTCCTTGTCAAGGATTCTCGATTTCGCAGGATCGACATTTTTTAATTCCAACCCGTACGCATCTAAACATTCCGGTATAGGATTCGGCACCTAGGCATATTTCATTGGTCCGTTTGAATTCGGACCGCCAATTAATGCGGAGTGCCGAAATCCGTACTTGAATGTTGAACGGTGCTGAGCCTCAGGTCGGAATGGTATATGCATATATTTACTATGTGGAGTGCCGAATCAAAGGTCAAAATGTTAAACAGTGCCCAGCTGCAGGTTGGAATGTTACTGAGTTAGCGCGGCACAAAATCAACAAACAAACTTTAATTACTTTTTGTTACACATTTATTTTATTTCAACGATACATTTCAAAAAATCTTGGACAATAATTTGCAGTGGCGGATCCAGGGGGGGGGGGGGCTTATAAAAACCTGAAACCTGGCAAATTAGAATAGAAAATTTTGAAAATAAATACCTTAATATATTTATCTTTTTTTTTTTTTGGTATCTGTGGTGCTTAGTTTAATTAAAATATCAATTGAAGCCAGGCAACAGCAGCTTTTGGATTTTCCTTTCTTATTATTTCCTTGATCCAGTTTTTTATAAGCACTATGATGGCATACAAAAACATATCTAAAAAATGTATTTTCCAAAGTCTATTCGCATCCAAGAAGATTCTGTCATTGAATTGACATTGAACACAAACCTGCATTTGAATCTCTTATAATTATTTTTCGCTGACTTCACATTCCAATTCGTGTATGTTATATCACTATACTGTTCTATCCTTTGCTTTATATCGTTTTCCTCCAAAATGTTGGCTCGGTAAATTTGCTCACCATATTAAAAGTGTTTAAATGATCCAGGCAAACTCATCTTGCATGTTTAAGCACAAGAACACATGAAGCAACGGCGAAATAAACCGCATCCGCCGCAAAATTGTAGCTAAGAGGAACACGAAGGAGGTGGACAGCTGATTTAATATAAAAACCGCGCAAAACGCATGGCAACATTCGGACCTGATACTCAGCACTGTTTAACATTTTGACCTTAGATTCAGCACTCCACATGGCTGTTGCTAATGGACCATTCTGACCTGAGGCTCAGCACCGTTCAACATTCAAGTATCGATTCCGGCACTCCGCATCAATTGGCGGTCCGAATTCAAACGGACCAAAGAAATATGCCTAGTTGCCGAATCCTATACCGGAATGTTTAGATGCTACCCGCACTGGCCAAAAGTTTACCTCCATTACGTAGCTCCCATTACCACCAAGAAGTCAGTAAGGGGATGGGTCAGTTTGGACACTTTTAATAGGAAACAGCAATTTCTGAGTAAGATACAAAAAAAACACACTCAGAGGCTCAGAAAACTTCCTCGTTTTGCCGTTAGAGGGCGTTTCTCGATTTTGAGCAATACTGTGAAAGCTTTATAACTTTTTTGTTTATGAAAGTAATTGTTTCCAATTTCCATTAAAACTTACTAAAATCAATTTTAAAGCAGAATCCAGGTCGTTCTCAGTTTTTTTTTTTTTTTTTTCTATTTGCCACCGATTTTGAGATACTTACCAAAAGTTCTATTTTTCTAAATTAGAAACCCTATACCGGGTGCCCACGAGATTACTTTCCGGCTGCCATTTTTTTATTTGTTCATCGATATCAACGAAAATTGGTAGAGTTGATATTCTAACCAAACACCATTTTTATGCATCTATGACAAGTTTTCCTGACTTTCGGTTTCACCGGAACTTTTGATTTTTGAATGGCACACCCTATATATTTTTTGTTTTTCAGAATCTGCAGATCGTTTTACGTCGTAATGTACCACTTTTAAATCTCGTTCAGTCCAAATTTCGTTTTCAAATTGAAAAACTAGAAAAAAACAAAAAATTACGTACATTATAAAACAAAAATGTTTGAACGAAAATTAAGAAAAATGTCGTAGTGTATTATATCGTTGGATTCGCTTTAAACTACTGCATTTAGTAATGTTATGAAAGTGATGTTTCTATTCCAGTTTTTGAGCTAGGGCAAAAATACTAAAATAATGAAGTTTACAGCCCTCTTCCAAAAAAGTTTACAAAGATAAAATTGAGTTTGTATTTTTCTGAAATTAAGTAAAGTATGTGGAGTCATTTTAGGATGATCATGGCACTCTAGTTGAAAAATAAAAATTTAATTTAAAAACAAAATTTGGACAAAACTCGATTCAAAAGTGGTGCATTAGGACGTAAAACGATCTGTAGAATCCGAAAAACAAAAAATATACAGGGTGTGCCATTTAGAAATCAAAAGTTCCGGTCATTTCCGGTGAAACCGGAAGTATAAAAAACTTGTCATAGATGCATAAAAATGTCGTTTTGTTAAAATAACAACCCTTCCAAGTTTCATTGATATCGATATACAAATTAAAAAATGGCAGCCGGAAAGTAATCTCGTGGGCACCCGGTATATTGATGACTCATTGGATAGATTTATCTTTAACAGTTTTCCAAAATCGGATACAAATAGAGAACGTCACTAGATTCTGCTTAAGGGGCTTTCAGAAAGTTTGTACAGAAATCAATTATTTTCATAAACAAAAAAGTTATGAAGCTCTGATAGTATTCCTCAAAATCGAGAAAATCCCTCTAGCGATAAAACGGGGAAAGGTATCCAACTGCGGTTTGCATTGGCCCACCCTGTGCATATGGTCCTTCTGGTCAGTAGTTTGGGTTACTTAGATGTTTTCTCTTCAATAGCTTGCTTTTGATTATTATTTTTAATGTTTTCTGATTTACTGGGGAATATAAAAGTCTTCCCGATTTGATTTGATCATAAACGATAAACCAAGGGACCCAGCAATCCTAGTATTGACTTCTGTGAAGAGAATCATAGCTTTGTAAAAATTCTTAAATCTTTTGGAATATTTGCCCAGTAGGGAAGTTTTTCATTAGCAGTAGCCCCTAGAAAACTATGTTTTTTACTAGTAGGTATAATACTTGATGCATGCTTCTAGAAATAAAGCAATTTTCCCTTTAAATTTAACATTCATCATAGATTTTCAAATGGAGCTGGCCTTATCTTTTTTGTTTTCCTCGTTTCTATTTCCCAACACAGCTTTCTTCGCCTATTATTAATCATGTATTACATTAACACAAGTTTCATGCTTGTTTATTGTTTTTTTTTTTTGTCAATAGAAATTGGTTCGTCCTTAAAACTACCTGACATTGAACAAACAAAAGAATCCCAAAATCTTCTACCTCCAGCTCAAGTCGACGATGTTGCCAATAACCAAGAAACAAGTTGTGTTCATTGCAAAAGGGGTAAGAACTTGATATTTATTATTTTCTTATAATGCTTATTAAAAAAAAAAACGGCTTTAGGTAGCCAAGATCAAGACCTAGATGACGAGGACAATACTTCTAATTGCACATCATGTATGAAATGTGAAAATTGGGTGAAACAATTAGGCAAAACCGTAACTAAATCCTCATGTTGTACCGATTCTGAAAGTGAAGCAGAAGAAATGTATAATAAATTGAAAAAACAAAGTATCGTAAGTAAATTTTGGCAGATAAACCATTCAAAATACATAAATTGATTTTTTCTGTTAGGTAAAAAGACGTACTTCCACACATCGTCTGCCAACAATAGCAGTAACGTCGGCACTAGACAGTACTTGTGATACTGAAAATGAAGCTCTATCGTCACCACGAGATTGGACAGCAGGTGTAACGACAAATAGTGAAGATTGTAGCAGTGATTTGGATGATGTATCAGATGCTGCGCCACCGGATAGATGTTCAGATTGTTTTGGAAATGATGCTGATGCGAATACGATGTTGAACCCGCCCTCTGTTAAAGGTAAATTGTTAATTATTAAATTACGTTACCACTGGGTAATTTCTAATGGAATCGTTTTGGGGAAAAAGAGAGCCAAAATTTTGACTATGTTTAGTAATAAATTATACAAATTTTATTATGTCGTCAGCATTGTTGCCAGGTATATGAATGAACTTGCCAGGAGGACAGTGCATACTAGCAATATTGATAATCAGTCTCTACCATAGACCATAGGTTGATTAAATTTGTCATTCAATTAAAAAATAGATTAGATAAAAACAAAAAACTGACTTCTGAATTTTCAGTGTTGCCACTTGCTAGGAGCTGTGTTCAATTCACATTTATTCTACCGCCTACTGCTCTCATGTTCCTTCTAATCCCGCTATGCATTAAAATACTAGCAACTCTTTCCAGTGGAGCTTCCTTCCAACGTTCATCTAGTAAAGCAAACATTCTCCAAACCAGCTATTAGTTGAAATTTCTAGTCAAAATATAGTGTATATGTTTTCCAGCAACTTGCACAATTTACGAATGCAAGGAAATCAAAAAAGCCGACCTATCAATGCTAGATATTAGCTCCATAATAATCACCAAAGTAGAAGCAATTCCTTCTACAGCTGACTACTTTTATGGAGGTATAGTCGTCTCGACCCTATTAGCCTTACTGCCTCTTCTATGTCGTTTAACTGAAGAAGGACCTGACGTTAAACACTTCTGGGAAGCTTGCAAGAATGGTAGCCACAAATTCTTAGACTCACAGTCACCAGCAGATGCCGCATATTTCGCCATGGATGAGTTACCAAAGAGGGTTGGAGAGTTTGCAGATGTAGCTTTAGGAACATCTTTTTGGTAGGATTTAAGCGGAAATTTAATTTAGGTTGGTGAGATTTTAATGTTTTTTCTTACAGGGAACGCTATATAGTGGCAGTAGCAATGCTGCAAAGGTTCATTTATGCTTCAATGATATTTTTCCTGATGGTAGTGGCAGAAAGAACGTTCAAGCAACGTTTATTGTATGCCAAATTATTCTCTCATCTGACTTCGTCCCGTAGAGCCCGCAAGTCAGAAATTCCACATTTCCGATTAAATAAAGTAAGTTGATTTGAATCTACTGATACTGACATGAAAAATGAGTAGTTGGGTGATAACCGCAATTAAACAGTCTGAAACGTGCTTGCCAAAGTTCCGAGGGCTAGATTTTAAAATCAGATAAGAATACTGTATAAAACAACTCGCAAACCATCAAAAATTTGTTGTACCTAAAAAAATTTCTTTCAAACATTTCTTAGAGTTTTCTTTGAAATTGGACATAACATTTTCACATATTAAAATAATTGAAATTAAATGAAAGGTTAAACATTGAAACACTCTCCTAGAGACTATAAAAACACACAAGATGGTGGATCATGTCTTATAGATCATTTATACTTGCTGTTCTCTACAACTATCATTTTTCCACAATTCAGCAATGCCAGAAATACAATAGATCTTCACTGATTATATTTTGTTGAAAATAGGTTAGAAATATTAAAACATGGCTCTCAGTAAGATCTTACCTAAAGAAACGAGGACCACAACGTTCAGTTGATGTAATTGTTTCTACAGCTTTTGTAGTAAATTTGCTACTACTAGCATTTCTATGTACAGAACTCTTGAAGGTATTAATTTATTTAATTTAAAAAATATCACGTTTGGTATTATGACTGTTATTTTAGGAAACAGTTTCCTTTTCTCAGTACTACTTGGAAGCCCTTATATGGTGTTTGGGATTAGGAGTGATGCTCTTAAGATTTATCACTTTGGGAACGAAAATAAACAAGAAGTATCGCAACCTTTCCGTTCTTATAACGGAACAAATCAATTTACATTTACAAATTGAACAAAAACCTCATAAGAAAGACGAACTGACTGTTGCCAATAATGTTTTGAAATTGGCTATTGATCTTCTCAAGGTAACAATAATTTATTTCAATTATCTTTATCTTACATGAAATGTTTTAAGGAATTGGAAAATCCATTTAAAATCTCTGGTCTCTCGGCGAACCCGATATTATACAACGTAACAAAATTGGTCATTTTATCAGCCCTATCTGGTGTACTATCCGAGATGTTAGGGTTCAAATTAAAATTGCATAAAATCAAATTGAAGTGATGTTTTTAGAGGCCAAACTAATTTGAATGTATTGCTGTTTATCAACTATGCCATTGTAAATTATTTTTTCTACGTCTGCTCTAGAAAACTATTAAAAACGCACCCCTAACTCACCTAGAAAATCAATTATTTCAAAGAGGGTACGAAATAGCTATTTGTGTATTAGGAGCGCAAAGTGATAAATTGTCGCTCTGAGCGAGAAATTTGACTATCTCGCAAGAACGACCATATTACTTTGCGCTCAAATTACACACATGATTTTCTCTACAACCGAGCGCAAAGTAAACTTTGTAGCTCAGGAGCGGCAAAGTAAACAAAACGCTCGCTCCTCTAGAAGTGCTACTGTGTGATTTCTATTGGAAACGAAAATTTCTACTTTGCGCTCGGTTGTAGGAAAAGAACTTTTCACAAGCTAAAACAGTAATGACCCTTCCACTGATTTTTTTTTTTGCCAATTGTTCGCACTTTTCATACTTGTGTGGTTTGTGCCACGCCTGTGAAAAATGCTTGTTGCACAATGTTGTATTCTACTGCAAGACATTCAAAATTTAATATACCAATGGTATTCTGAGACTGATTTTTCAGTATCTTGTTTGATAGCCCTAAGTAGATACATTTAAAATGTATTATTAAAATGTAAACGTGTTTCTTGCATTTGTGTAAAGTTACTTATTATTGCCGCGAAATATTTGGTAGAAGAGCTTAAAAAAATATATATATATAAAAAATTGTTGTTTTCAACATATTAAAAATATTTTAGATTTATTAACCTAGGTACCTTTTATACGTAGTGACTACTTAATGCAAAAACCATATTGATTTTGGGAAAATTTTGATGTCAATCTATCTGTAACTACTTATCTAGTTTATGATAATACATTATACACTGAATTGTTCTTTTTTTATACATACACAAATTTTTCTTTCATTGGTCCATATACATTTATTGAGTTTTTCTGATCATTGTACAAATAATAGTTATAAGTATATCACTATTTTAGAAATCAATGAACTGTGATTTAACATCACAAATAACAGGGCAGAAATGAATTTGTGATTCTGTATAGGTGTAGAAATAGTATTAAGTAAGTTAACATTTGCATGTATGTACTCAGTTAAGATTGGGCGTTATCATATTTCATAGAATTACTTTTGAGTTTGGAATCTTTGTTTTTCAAGGAGAATTTTTTTTTTGTTTGGATGGTTAGGTCATACACATTTTGTTTATTTACTTGAGTACGTACAATTTTTAATAATGCAAAAATCATAGCGCATTCAAATAGCAGTCAAATTGCAAATTGCTTAATAGAATATGAAAATTTAGAAGTGATACTTTATTGTGATTTCTGATTATAGTACCTAATTATTTAGTGTCGATTGTATTAAAATTATTTGTTCTCTCTAAATTGAATTACTGTGTTCAATGGTTGCAAATTGTTTTGTTTTCCTTTTTTGTAAAAAGTAACAATAAAATAATATAAAGCAAAAACAATTTCCTTATTTCAAGCCAAATAAAACATACTTTTCAAACTAGATTATTTATTAGTCATAAATATTCCTCTTATAAAACATACAATATTCACAATATTAGTTAAACAGGACTAGTATCCGTAGCCTGGCTACTGCAAGTAGTCATATATTTTAAGGAGATAGATTCCGGACTGGATTTATCATCATCTCCTCTTGGCGGACAAAACAATTGCTTGAAGACGCATGTGTAACAAGCGAGCAGGGCACCTACTATACACGCGCCCACCATCAGACTTATGACGACCTCCATATATTGCCAGAGCCGCATGGTAAATTATCGATTGATGTTGTTTCGGATTCTGACATTACTGGATGCAGTTCTGAAAATAGAAAATTAAAATGTAAATTTGTTGAATTTCAGAGATGTCTTCTAAGGTAATTGATATTCTAACAAAAGCAGATTAGAAGGATACTGTCTCACTGCTGTAACTGATTTATTGTTTGTATAAACTTGTTGCTTTCTTGCTATAGAACAAGACTAAAAGCTGGGAATAAATTAAAGAGATCAGTAGCGTAACTTGACATCAGGGGGCCTCGGTGCAAGATTAGATTACAGTGACATTAGATTAACCCCCCTCTGCCATTTTTGGGTGCCACGTCCAAAAACGTTAATTTCAAGCCTTCAAAAGAGCTATTTATGCAACAAGTGTGTAAAGTAAACCTTTACATGAATGTGAATTTTGACAATTACATGACTGAAAAAAGGTGCTTTACACACATATTGCTTACCACTTTAAGCCTAGTACTCATAACTGCGAAATTCGCACAAACGTCAAATTGTCGAAGCAATGTCAAAAAAAGCGAATTTCGCAGTTATGAGTACTAGGCTTTACGCACTAGTGCTTGAAGAAGTTTACCAGAAAAATACTAAATTGACCAATGACATCTGTCATTGACATCACTTCACGCACTAGTGTGTAAATGTGAAGTGAATTGTACTTTACGCACTAGCTCATGAAGTGAAATTTTACGTCTTTTGAATAATGCGTAAACCGTAAAGTGAGTCCTTCATGCGTACCTAGCATGATACTAGAAAGGAAGAATTTATTTTGTAATTTTTTACCTTGGTGTTTACTTATGTATTACCACTTTGTTTCTCTATTGAAGAAGGCATGGGCTTTCCGCAATTTTTCCCCTCACTCTATCTTGAGAATGGGGATTGTTTAGAAGAATACACAATCAATAAAATGCAAGATATTTTGAGGCCCCCTGAGCAGGCAAGGTCGACAACCTTGTTGTTAGCGGAAAACGTTTTATTATAAACTTGTACTACAATTCCCAGACATTTAAAAACATTTTTTTTTAAATTAATATTACGAATTTAATAAAATAGGTACTTATAACAAATGTAGGGCCCCTCAAGTCTCTGGGGCCTCGGTGATTTGCACCGAACTGCCCCTATGATAGTTACGCCAGTGAAAGAGATGTGTGACAAGGCAATAAGAGAAATACAAGAAAAACGGATCTTTCAAGATATTTTACATTGAAATTGCAGGCAAAATTTCAAATACCTAATGTAAAATCTGTAGAGCTTAGTATTTGTTAAGAATTTGGAACAAATTATAACTTAAATCCAATCCTTAATAATTCACCAAAAAGTTAAATAAGAGTCCCATAATCAAACCAAACAAGCTTTAAATTCAAAAATGGAGCTATAGCAAAACATGAACATGCTGTAGTTAAATCTATAAAATTAGGCAAATCTTGGGTCACTATAGCAGCGCACAATACAAATTTCAAATTGATTGATACAAAGAGTGATTCGACAAAAATAGATATCAAGCAATAGTTGGGGAGGTGACGTCGAAAACATGCAAGAGTTTTCTGAAGGCTGGTATTTTCAAAATAGGTCGTACTTTAGTGATGGAAAGCTAGTGTACAGTCAGCACTCACAGTTACGGGGGACAGCTGGCGCTGGCACGCGCGCTAAGTTGTAATTTTAAGAAGCATCTAAACTGTTTTCTCAAAGCTCAAAGTTTATAGAAATTTTGCATATTATCTGTTTGAAGGTCACAGATAACGTATGTAAATCGTCAGACGTCTAGGAAGCTGCAAAAAAGGTATCAGACCCAGACGCCCTTAAAGTTTTCATTTACCGCGTTTTATAGCGTGAAGTAGTACTTTTACGCCCTAGGGCGTCTTTTATGCCCGCGGGCCTAAAAGTTTTATAATTTTAAAAATAAGCAAAAATTCGACGTAATTTTTTTAAATATTTTCCATTTCTATTGCTTAGTCCAAAAAATATTATATTTTGTTCAAAAAAACCAGCCTTATTTCAATTAACAAGAATAATGAAGTAGGCAATAATAATAAAACTCAATTTACTTTGAAATTTTAATGTTCGACTGGTATATTATTCGAGAAATAATGACATTATGTCAAAGTCAGTTAACCTTTAACGGCTACGCAGTGGTCTGTCAGACACCTAGCGAAAATCTTTTCCGGTTTTTTTGAAAAATACTTGCGTTTTGAGAGGTGAGAGTTTATGTACCTTTCAGTGGATCACTGTCCCACTACAGTAATGCGATAGCGTCAGTGGAGTGAGTAGTGATTTTTTATTTAATCCTAAATAGTATAGGAGCTGGCAGGTTTTTCGGTGAACGATATTGATCAAAATTTTTATTAATTAATCATGATTGAGGGTTACCTGGACATACCAAAACTGACCGTCTGCCGTTTCAGGGTGGCAGCTTTAATCGTGGGTTAAATTTTAAAAAGGGATGAATTTTCATTTTGGTGAACGACATTGATCAAGATCCAAATTTTCGGAAACGAATTAACAGTTTGAGGACTTATCAATATTACACAGGCAGACGATTTGTTTGACAGCATTACTTCGGCAGACGCCTGTCAAATTTGTAATTTTCAAGTTTTAGTGAACGACATTGATCAAATTTTGTTTTTTTGCAAATCGATTCCTTTCCTAACGTACTCTCAGAAAAAATATCGGCAGACGAAAAAGACGGCAGCGTTTTTTTGGCAGACGCTGGAATAGTGACAAGTTGATTTATGGTAAAAAATACTGATAATAGCTGATATTCGTGAAAGCGTTAGAGCAGCTCTAGTGTATTCAAAATTCAAATAGGCAGAAGATTTATTTGACAGCAAAATTTTGGCAGACACTATTAAATTTTGTCATATACAGGGTGTCCCACCCGAGAGTGACCCATTTGAAATGCTTATAACTTCTAAACTAGTTGTGCTAGTGACCTGCCGTTTGCGCCATTCGACTTCTCCTGGCCTAAAGTTTTTTTTAGTAGGTTACAAATTTTCTTGCCTCTCATACAGGGCAAGTAAAAAAATCCACTTTTCAACATCGAAATTCTCCACTATCTTTAATACAACACCCTGTATATCACAACGTCAAAAAAAAAGAGTCATGCTAAAGGTATCCATGTACCAATAAGCATCATCCTTGAAACTTAAAGTTTTAGCCGTAAAAAAATGAAATCTAAATCCTTGTATTTTAGCATAAGCATGGCAGCTTCATGTTGTATTGTATGTATGGAAGTGGAGAGGCGTGATTATTCAGAAGCATGATTCTATTGGTTAGAGCTTGAACGACAGCACGCAGTGGCGTGGTTATTGGCGAAACTAGAGAATATTTTTTCTAATAATTTTATTGGTTTATTTCCTTGGTGTTTTCGGTGCCACTGAACTCAAAGACATGGCTGTAATCAGACGGTGTCATCAGTTAAGGTGTCAATGAATATTTTTAGGTAACGCCCCAGTTTTCTTCCCCCTTTCGTCTCTACCAAGTTACCACTTGCCAGACTATAGGTATGTACTTGCTATCACTATGGCAAACAATTTTTAAATGTGTGTGTAGTTGGACATCAACTAAGTTAAAATAAATTGTCCACGAGAACTTAACAAGTTCCAGTGAGAATTAGCGAGGTACCCCAAAAGTAACAGTTTGGCGTGGAATCTCTGTTGAGGAAAAATACGCAAATAACATCTGTAAATAAGTGGTTTAAATTAATACAATTAAATATAGTCAAACACTTATAAACTTAATAATAATTAAACTTTGAGACTTAACATTTAACAATATTATTAAATAACGCGATTTATTTTTTTTTTAACTACGTTTTTTAAAATGGCTTATTATTACACTAGGTCTACAAATTCTCAGTAGTATTATTATTGCGTAAAGTAACTTTTTTTTATCAATTTTCACCTATAAATACCATAAAAATATTTCAAACTTAGTTTTAGTTTCGTAGAAAAAAAAATCAATTTTTTCAAAAAAATTAAAAAAACTATACATTTTTTACTCATTTGCGGAATGGCGACGTGGTTTTTTCGCTGCTCTCTTATATTCTGCTTCTGGAACATCTCGACAAACAGTTCAGCAATAATCCGCCAACATGGCAACATTTCACTTGCCCTGATATCGTTTTTCCATGATTGCGATGTCCTTATGGAAGCGTTCTCCATCGTCACTCAATGCCCAAAAGTTGTCTGGAAAGAAGTCTAAATGTGAATGTAAAGAGTGGATTTTCAGGGACATGTTGCAACCTAGTTTTTAATACGATCGTAACATATTTCCAATTCCAATTAGTTCAGCATAGTTGTCGGTCCTCTTATTTCCTAAGAAGTTTTTTGCCACAAGACGAAAGTCTTCCCAGGCTTTTTTTTCTGTACCTTCCAAAACACAGTCAAAATTATTATCTTTAAATAGTGTTCTAATTTGAGGACCGATAAATATACCTTCGCTTCACTTAATCTTGGAAATTTCTGACGAAGGTAGATACTGAAAAGCAGCTCCATTTTTGTTCATTGCTTTTACGAAATTTGTCATAGGCCCTAGTTTAATATGCAACGGTGGCAATAATACTATTTGTGGGTCAACTAAAGGGTAATTTTTTTGCCCAGGTTGAAGTGACTGTCGATGACGCCAGACCTTTTTTATGTAATGCACATTTCTATCTCGACTATCTCATTCGCAGATAAAACAACAAAATTTCGTGTAGCCCATTTGTAGACCAAGCAGAAGAGCTACGACTTTCAAATCTCCACAGATTTGCCATCGATGTTCATCATACTTAATCCGCAACAAAAGGCTTTTCATATTTTCATAAGACTCTTTCATATGGACTGCGCGACCAATAGGAATCGACGGTAAAATATTTCCGTTATGTAGCAAAACAGTTTTTAAACTTAGCTTAGAGCTATCTATGAAGAATCTCCATTCGTTTTGTAGATAGAAAATATTAAGTGCTCTCATCAAACCACTGACATCTTCACAAAAGCTAAAGTGTCCACCCTAGCAAAATATTGCATCAACTCTTTTTGTCTAGTACGGAAAGAAGTTTCGGCCTAT